AATTAAAGTTTAATTGTAATGAGTTAAATTTGGTTATTTAACTCATTACTATTAAACTGTAATTGAGTCAAAGTCAAGTTAGAAAAGATATGTAAGTTTTAAAAATACGTTAGATTTTAGATTAAATGTTTTAAATAATGAATAAAAATAATGAAGCATCTTATATTTGAAGCAAATATACATAAACTATTGTATTATTTAAATATTCAATATATATATATATATATATATATATATATGTATATATATATATATATATATATATATATATATATATATATATATATATACACTCTTGCATGGTAGTCACAAAGTTTTTCCCATAAACTGTAATTTTAAAGAGCGTGTTAATAAGCATTAATTTAATTGCTTTGACATTTCGACAACAATCAAATACAGCTTAAGAGCCAAGGTAACTAAAATTGCAGTCGAAAGAGACTTTTTTTACATTAAAAGACTCTTTCGACTACACTATAAGGATATATATATATATATATATATATATATATATATATATATATATATATATATATATATATATATATATATATATATATATATATATATATACACACATATATATATATATATATATACACACATATATATATATATATATATAATTTTATTTTCATACTTTGTAATTATAAACTATTATCTTTTTTCATATTCTTGATTGATATTTATACTAAATTACTTATATGGACTATGTTTTACTATTTGAAGTTTTAATCTTATTAAAAGATGGCATAACATTTTTTAGTAATCAAAAGATTTTGCAAAATTAAATTTTGTATTGAAATTCAATTGTTATGTATTCTTTCCTTCATCGCATTAACGCAGCAATGGCAAATAATGAAGCAGATAAAACCAACAGCTTAAAATCAAACCAAAAGAACCCAGTTTTTGATACGCTTGATCGGGTACAAATTAATCGTATAATTATGAACTATTTAACCATGGAAGGTTTTAAGGAAGCAGCAGAAAAATTTCGTATTGAATCTGGAGTTGAGCCTGATCATTCATTAGAACAACTAGATTATCGCATTTACATTCGTGATGCAGTTCAAAATGGAAAAATAGATGAAGCAATTGATCTTACTAATGCTTTAAACCCAGAGATTCTTGACAATCAACCATCTCTTTATTTTCATTTACAACAGCAAAAGTTAATTGAGTTGATTAGAGAAAAAAATTTAGAAGGAGCTCTAATTTTTTCTCAAAATGTTCTTGCTGAACTTTGTATGGAAAAAGAAGAATTTTTAGATGATTTAGAAAAAACCATGACACTTCTTGCATATGAGGACACAGGTAAATGCCCATATGGAGAGCTTTTAAGTTTTTCTCAGCGTCAAAAAGTAGCAAGTGAGTTGAATGCTGTCATTCTTGATACCAATCATCAAGAAACGCTTCCAAAAATTGCTGGCATTCTTAAATTATTGCTATGGAGTCAAAATGAACTGGATAAAAAAAAAGTTAAGTACCCACAAATGACAGATATTGTTAACTGTACTTTAAAAAATATAGATGATGAGAAAAATCCTGCAACTACACTTGCATTATGAGTTTGATAGATTTATGATTTGAAATTTTTTATGTTTTGCTTATGTAATTTTTAATAAAAATTGTCATTTGTATTCTAATTACTTAAGTTATGAATTTTGAAAAAAATTTCATGTTTTATGTTTTTTTTTTTCTTATTGTAGATTTTTCTTTTTACAAACGATATAAGATGATAAACTTAAAATTTTCAGCCTTTTTTTTATAAGATATTATTTTAGGGGTATAAATGTTTTAGCTGCACTTTTTGTTCCAAAAATATATACAAACATAAGAATAACGTTTTGCTTATTTTAAATCAGGTTTTTAAGTCTCAATTGTTTCTTTATAATGTTGTTTTTTAAGTAAAACAAAAACAAAATGAATAAAATAATGAGGGAGTTGTGGCACATTTTTACTGCATAAACTAATGTGGCATAATGGTAAAGTCATGACTCTGTAGTGAGCAAAACAGAGGGATCAAATACCTGTTTGTATTTGATAAAATTTTGTTTTTAATATTTATATTTGATTAAATTGTATTTGTAGTTCCATAAGCAAAGTTGACTATCTTTTTTTATAATTTTAAGTTATGATCAGTTATGAGAGTTAAGATGAAGGAATGCCACACACAAAAAAAAATACTTATTTAAATTTTATACTTATAGAATAATTTATAGTATTAACTTTTTTCTCTGTGCAGTGGCCTTGTTTGTCATGGCTTGTGTTTTAGGGTTAAAGAGTTAATAGAGGGTTTTGACTACATAAAAGTAGCCTCCTCAACTGTAGTTGCCTTTTTGGCGACTAACATAAAAAATGTATAGGTATATAAATGTATATATATATATATATATATATATATATATATATATATATATATATATATATATATATATATATATATATATATATATATATATGTACATGCATGCATGCATACATACAAGCAATACTCAATATT